GCCTTTGTGGCTGAAGAACAGGGTATAAATACAATAAATAAAGAAATAAAATTTGTCTGCATATGTGTGTGAGAGAGAGAAAAAAAGATTCAGGGCTCAGTGGGGACTTCAACCTGGGTCTCCTAATAATAATAATAATAATAATAATAATAATTTTATATCCCGCCCCTTGAGGTCAATCGGGGCGGCTAACAGCAATAAAACATTACATAAGATAAACAAAATCTAATTCCCTCCCCCCTTAAAAAGTTATTAAATCAATTTCAAGTTAAAACAAACAAAATATAGTACAACAATGATAAAAACAATTCCAGCGAGCGGCGGTAGTTCTTGATTGTATTTGAAAAGTCCTTACTTAGCCTGAGACTCTTAACCACTGTCCCATGCTAAATAAGTAGGTGGTAAGAATGGGGAGTATACTGCTTTCACCTTTAGATGGTGAATTGTGTTTTGGATGCTTCCTTGTCTAACAAAATGTCAGACAAAGCGAAAGCTCGCATGGAAGGAGAAGATGACAGAAGCTCTCCCTACCCCAATTACAATGGTCCAGTCCTCTTATGTTTATTTAGTTAATGTATTTATACCCAAGGCAGCTCACAGATAAAATTGGGGAGGAACATTTTGAAAATACCCCCATGACTGAAGTGGTATTGTCCACTTTATCATCTCTGCACCAGATCACTTCATTCTACTATACCAGTGATTCCCAAAGTGGGCAGTATGCCTCCCCAATGGGCAATGGAAATGTCGAGGGGGGCAGTGAGGAAAAAGCAGGTGGCAGGAGGGCTTCAGTCAAACTACTGGTGTGCAAGAAAGACAAGGGAAACCAGCGGCCTTTAGGACCATGGTGGGAATGAGGGTTGCATGAAATTTCTTTTCAGGGTCTTTACTGATCATTTTGTGTAATGGCATCTCCTGCTCTTTGCCTACCTGTGCAAGCACACTCCCTTAGCCACATATTGCATTAGTAGTAGTGGTGGCAGTGGCAGCGGCAGTTGGGAAACTCTTGCAAGGCTTGGGCACAAAACATCACTTCTATGGCTCAGAGTGGGACAGATTGACTGGAACAAGGAGTTACAGCACATGGCAGTGGAGGAGAAGCAGTGGCCAAAAGGAGCTTTCAAAATTTGGGACCCCGCTTAAGCTTTGTGGACTTTGCTGGGACTTGGCTGGCAGGTTGAGCTGCTCTGTTGCTCCTGTTTTCTTTAATCGGACAGGCTGAGAGGTCACAGAAGAAATACTGTTTGTGCATGTCTGTGTGTGGGGAACACTTGAAGCTGTGTGAGGAAGATGTGTCTGGTGAAGGAAAGGGAGAAGTATCTGCATTGATTCTTGCAAAGAGTCCACCTTGGAGCGGCTCTTGCAGTTAAACATCTCTTTCTCCAGTCCAGAGCATGTGGCCTCTGTAACCTCCCTATATTCACACCAGCTGTACGTCTCTCCACCCCAGTGAAGAAGGACTGAGAGTCCTTCCTCACCAGAGAGAAATGTCTCCCTTTGCACTGGTCACCTTGGGAGCAGCAACTGACAGAGAGGCGTCTTGTCTTCCTTGGTCTTTGCTGGAGGTGTGGCATGAGTGAGACACTTCTTGGTTGCTGGTCAGCCAGCGGCTCAGTTGCTGCTCCCAGGATGACCAGGTTTTGAATTTGCAGTAGAAAAGTAGACCTAATATTGAGAAAAGCACACCGGGGGGGGGGGGGGCACTAGGGTTGTGGCCCAAGAAGAAAGGTGTTGCAGCTAGAAAAAGTTTGGGGACCACTGTGCTAAACTACACAACAGGCTATAGATTTGCTCTTACTATTTTATTTTCTTATTTTTCGGAATGCCTCATTTCCAATTTATTATCGCTTTCTGGCCCACGTGTGATAACGTCCAAAGACATGAATGGTCCCTAGAACAAAGCAAGCCTCAACTCACCCTAGAAGCCAAGACAACTAAACTATAGTACTTTGGACATATCATGAAAAAATATTACCTTATCTAAGCTTTCTCAGTTTTCTGGGGGTTTAGAATTTGGAAAATGTTAAAATGTAACGTAAAATATAAACATGCTGTTAATGCTTCTGTTTTTATATTCTTCTGTTGCACAGAATTTGTTTTCTGGCTAATCTGAGTGCCTACCACTTGCAAATAGAGAGATGTGATAAATTCCCAGTGTACCTTGAGAAGTGGTAGTAGATGGTTGTGCTGCATGGATAGTAGTCTAATTGTTTGCTGAAATTAAAAGGAGAGAATTTCACAATTCACAGTTGTTTACCATTTTTTCTGAATAAATTAGAATCTAATTGCTCAATAGAGGTCCAAAACACACTGTAGAAATAATCCAATTTGAGACAGCGTTAACTGCCCTGAATCAATGCTAGAGAATTCTGGGAACTATTGTTTTGTGATACATTTAGCCTTCTCTGTCAGAGAGCTCTGGTGCCACA